CCAGGGGGACTCAGCCTTCCTTCCCTCCAGGGTGGGTAAAGTGAGGACCCAGATTGTAGGGGGGCAGAGGCTGCCAAGCTCGGTGAAGCAGGCTAGAAGCCCCTGTGCGACCGCTCTCTGCTTCCCTTCAAGCCAAACACACCTTTTCTCAGGCTGCTCCAACCTCTCCCAGCACCGTCTGAGCCCAAGAAGAGCTGCCAGGGAGCTGCCAGCGGTGCCCAGGGCTGTCAGTGGCCCCTCCCCTGACCGGCTACTGCTGAGCCTTTCTGAGCTGCTGGTCTGCCAGGGGCCTGGAGGGCCCCCCCCGACATTTGGGCTCTTCCTTCCCTTCAACCTGGCTGCGTCTGCCCCTTCTCAGTCCTTCCCTCCGGGGTGAATTTGGCTGAGACTGGGCAGGACGAGCCGCTCCCCTGGCCCCAGCCCCAGCCTTGCTCCCCCAAGCAGACCATGGGTTGTCTTTGGGGGGGGGAGGGGGTTCTGCAGAAGCCCCCCCCGTCCCTGCAAGGCCTCTCCCCCTCTGGCCTGCCAGTCTGGCCCTTGCTGGCACAGCCCCCCTCCCCTCTTTAAGTGTCCCCCCCCTCAGCCACCTACCCCAAGGGGGGCAGGAAGAGAGCAGACTTCTCCATACTCCCCATTTGGGCTCCAGAAGCAGAGGGGGCTGGCCCCCAGAGAGCCCCGCCCTCAGCCTTCCAGGCCCCTGGGATTCCTGCCTGGGGAGGCCAAGGTGCTTCGCTCCGCCCAGGACTCCCCAGAAGGCATCCGCGGAAGAGGGCTGGATCCGCTGGATCGGCTCTCGGCTGCCCCCCCCCCCCCCCAGCATTCGGCTTTCCTGGCATGAGGCGGCTCTTCCCCACCCCCCACCCCCCATGATGAGCAAGGCCGAATTGGCTGGAGGGCCCAGGTGAGGAGGTCCACCCAAAGGCCTCCCCTGCCCTGGGCAGGTTGCTGAGGCTCCACCTCTGACCCCCCTCCCCGCCAGAGAAGGGGAGGAGCGGCTGGAGAAGGCTGAGCAGAGCCAAGGAAGCACCGGAGCTCCAGTCCCCGCTGGGCAGGGAAGTGACTCACCCGCCAGGCTCCCCACATGCCAGGCAGATCCTGTTGTCTGCTGTGGCCTCTCAGCTGAGGATGCCTGCCAGGGCTCCGCTGCTACCGGTGGTTGGTGCGCAGGGCTCCCGGGGGCAAAGAAGCGGTGCCCCCCACGTCTTTGATTAGCGCCCTTTGGGGAATGCAGGTCTCTCTGGTGGCGGCAGCTTCTCCAGGACGGCTGCCTCTCCAGGGCCCCCCCAAGGCCTGGAAGAAGGTCCTGGACGTGGAGGGAGGGAGACTGGGACATGGGAGGGGGCTCTCCTTTGGGAAGGGTTTTCTTTGGGGAAAAGAGGGAGGGGCTCGGGCTGAGGAGGGGCTGCGTTCCCCCACAGGGGGTCCTCACCTTACGACCAAAACGGAGCCTAGAAGTTCAGGCGTGAGTGGTTGCAAGGGTCAGCTGAGACACCACGTGAGCAGAATTGATTTCGGGACCATTTTTACAACCGTTGTGAAGTGAGTCACTGCAGTTGGTCATAGAACCACATGGTCGTTAAGTGAATCTGCACAAACTGCGGCCAGGCAGATGTGGGCTGCTGCCCCCGTCTGACTGCAGTGGGGGGGGGGAACACGCAGGAGCTGAGAGCCACGCCTTCTAAAAGTCCCTCACAACTTGGAACGGTCATTAAGCCGCCAGTCATCCGTCGAGGACTCCAGGCACAAGCGGCTCAGCTGCAGGCCTGCGCCAGAGGGCCAGGAAGGCGGCCTTTCTGGGGGCAAAGATCCATGCCGCCCCCTCCCCTCCCCTCCCCCAAGGTTATTCTCCAAAGACCTCTGTGAGGAGCCCCGACGGAAGCCAACCAACGAGAAGGATTGAAGAAAGCTGGAGGCCTGGTAACCTTTGGCCAGCCCCCCCCCCCCCCATAGCAGTTGGGGAGGGGGGGCGGAAGCACTGCAGCCCAGCCAGCTCTGTTAGCAGCCGGGCAGGGGCGGGGGGTGTCCGAGCAGCAGCCAGGCTGTGGGCTCTGCTGGCCCCAAGGAGGGAGCAGGCGGTTCCAGGGCGAGGCGCGGAGGGTTTGCCCGTCCAGGAGCTGCCCTTTGGGGGCCCGTCGTTAATTGGGGAGCCTGAATGGCTACGTGGGTCGAAGAGTAGAGTGGCCCCTGCAGGCTCCCTTCCACACGTTTCTGAAGAGCTCGTCAAAGAACAGCCTTTGGGGGGGGTGCAGTCTCACCATTGGGGAAGACTTTAGGGGCTGGAATACGGGGCAGAAATCGGGATTGCAAGAGGGGGAAACAGAACCTCCCCCCCTGAGGAAAGTCAAGGGCTTTGGACGTGGCAGGAGGGGAACCCTTTCCGGGAAGCAGCGCCTGAGGGGGGTGGTCTGGATGGAAGCGGAGCCCAACCCCGTCCAGCTCAGGACAAGGAATCCTCCCGCCTGGGGGAGGAGAGGGCTGGGTTCTGGACACGGAGGAAGGAGCAGAGCGGGCCGGATGATCCCAGCCTGGAGAGACAGTTACACAAGAGCCACAGTGTCGCAAGCACCTGGCCGAGGGCAGCGCAAGACGGCGGGGCTCTCACCAGAAGCGGCCAGGCGTGTTCAGTGCCCTTCAGAAGAGGAGAACGGAAGGCTCCAATTACCAGGAAGCAGATTTTAATCAGGCTGCCCCAGACCACCCGCCTTCCTTGGGGGTTTCTGGGGGGGGGGGCTGGGGAGGAAGCCTGCGCAGGAAAGAGGCCAATGGCTCAGGAGGCGGCCCCTGACTTGGAGGGAGGGGCTTGTAACGCCACCAGATGGACCTTCCTCATGGGACCCCAGACCCAGGAAAGCTGACCTCCCCACAAGGCAGCCATGCCCGCATCACCTCACATTCTTCTGCCCGTTTGTCACAGAAATGCGGGAGGATGTTAGAAAATTGCCCTCATTAGTGCAAGCAATGCAGGGAATGAGGTGCCCGGTGTGTGTGTGTGTGTGTGTGTGTGTGTGAGATTGCACACCCAGGAATCCAGGCCAGGAACCAGGCAGCCTTGACCTCCTCTGGACCTGCTGGTTCTCCCAGAAACTGGACCTCTGGCAATTCTGCCCACCAACTTCAGCAGGACCCCTCGGGGGGGCCACAGGGCTTCCTTGGCAACTTGAGCTGGGCAAGCGCAGGCAAAGCGCAACCGACAGCCTCGCAAGGGGGAGAGGCTGCCCCGGGGGGGGGGGGGGGGCAGGGGGGGGGGTGGAAGCCCCCAGTGAGAGCATAAAGACCCCCTGGGGAGCGGGAGGCAGAGCAGGAAGTGAGGCCCCCTCAAGGCTCCACCTGTGGCAAGCAGGTCGACCCACATGCACGCGCACGCGCACGCCTGCACCTGGAGCGAGGGAGGGCCCTCCCCGGCTTCTCCCCCGCCCCCGGCAGAAACTCTCTCCTGGAAGTGACCCTTGGGCCAGGGTCCCTGGGTCTGCCCCTCCCTCCCTCGCTTAGACTTTCGTCCACGGCGTTTATGGCTGCGCGGAAGTTAATCTGTAACCGGCCGGGGAGCCGGCGAGGCAGGACCTGTTAGTCAGCTGTGTCTGGTCGCGGGCAATTTGCGAGCCGGATCGACCTGCCTTGCTCAGCGGGAGCATGACGGGCACCTGGGGAGGCATGACGGGCAGCTCAGTTATGCGGAGCACATGACCGCCGGCAGGTGCTTCTGCCGGCCAGCGCGGCCTCAGTTCCCCGACCGCTCCGGCCACGCGGAGGAACTCCCTGGATGCTCCGGCCAGGCACCGGCAGAGGTGAGCGGTGCGAAGCCGCGGCGCTGGGACTTACGGTCGCTCTGGGGGCAAAGGGGGGGGACAGGAAGCAGACTGGTGGGCAGGCCGAGGGGCTTCTCCGCGGCGCAGGTCCCGGGTCTTCCTAGAGCCAGCGGCACTCTGCTGGGGCTCCGGAGCCCTTTCGCTTCCTCCTGCTTGCAAAGCCAGTTCGCGGCTCCTTCCGTGTCCTGTCTGGGATCCTCGCTTGGTCGGGAACACAAACCAGCCTCACTTTGCCACAGGGAGGCCGGGCATTTCTCATTCAAGTTTCTGGTCCTGCATGAGGCCAGCCCAGCTGAGACTGGGGGGCGGGGGGCGGGCGGGCTGCAAGGCGTTCCCTCGAGGACTTTCCTGAAAATCTTGCCCCGGGAGCCCCCAGGAGTCAAGTGGGCCGCCCTCACTCAGCAGGACAAGACAGCAATCGGTCAAGGGGTTACGAAGCCAGGAGGCTGCGAGTTCTAGCCCCGCCTCCGGCGAGAACCAGCGCAGTGACTGGGGACCCCTGGTTCTCAGGTGTAGGAGAGGGAGGAGGGGAAAGCCACGTCTGAAAGGGCTGCCAAGAGAAGGAGAAGCTGGAGTTGACGCCACCGCCGCCGCCACTCAGCAAGGAATCTGTAGGGCATCTTTTATTTCCCTACACAACATCCCTGAAAGGTAGGCCAGGAATGCAACCAGCCGGGTCACCTGTTCCTTCACCAGGCGGCGGCGGCTGCCAGCGCCGCCCAAGAGCTCCTGCCGGTCTCTGCGCGCTGGGTCCCCATTTCAGCGCCCCCAGCTCCGGCTCCCGAAGGCGCATCGGCGGGTGGGGGGGGGGGGCGGGGGGGGGGGGGCGGGGGGCCCCCCCCGCCGGGGCCCCCCCCCCGCCCCCCCCCCCCCCGCAGGCCGGCCGAGCGTCGCAGCTCCCAGCCCCGCCGGCAGCGCTTCCCACGCCGAGCGGCCGCGGCGAGAGTCAGGCAGCGCTTAGCGCGGCTGGGTCGCTCCGGTGCGTCGGCCGGTGGAGCCCGAAGGGCGCAGCGGTCAGTGCGGAGCTCGCCGCGGGGTTTCGGACCTCCGTCTCCCCCGGTCCTGCGGCTCCTCGCAAAGGCCAGGCGAGCCTCTCCGAGCGCGCGGCGGGCGAGAGCCGCAGTCCGGGCTGCCTGCGGAGCTCACGCGCTCCTCTCGCTCGCTCTCTCCCCGCTTGGCGCAGCGCGCACCGGAGGCGTCCGCGGCAGCATCGCCAGCCACTCCGGGATTCGCCCCGCCGCCGCCCTCCTCCTGCCATGGGTCTCCGGGAGTCGCCTTACTCCAGCCGCGTCCTGGGGGGCCTGGACACCACCACGAGGGCCCTGCTGTTCCCCGGCTACTGGCTAGCGAACGAGGTGCTGGCCCTGCAGCGCTCCACGGGGGAGAAGCCCCGCTGCGCGCCCTACGGCCTGGAGGTGGCCGTCCGGGGGCCGCTGCTGGTGCTGCTGCTGCTGCTCTACAGCCCGGTCTCGCTGCTGGCCCTCCTGCTCTGGCTGCCCCTGCAGGCCGCCCGGCGGCCCTTCGCTTACCAGCACACCCCGGGCCGAGCCCCTCCCGAGGCCTGGGCGCTTCCGGGCCCGGCCAGGACCCTCCGCCTCCTCAGCGGGAACGTCTGCCTGCTCCCCGAGGGGCTGGCCAAGTTCAGCAACATCTGGCGAACCCAGTGGCGGGCCAGGCACATCGGCCAGAGTCTGGCCCAAGCGGCCCAATGCTCTACGCCCTATGCACCCCCCGGGGCCCCCAATGGCCTGGCCATCCCACGTGGGCTGCCGGGGGGGCCTGCCGCTGCCCTGGGCCACCCCTGGGGTGACTCTGTGATGACCGTGGAGGGGGTGGGGGCCGTGGCAGGGGAGGCCAACGGGCCCCGGGAGATCGCCGTCTGCAGGCCTCCGAACTTGGACCTCCTGTGCCTGCAGGAGGTCTTCGACCTCCGGGCCTCTGCCCACCTGCGCCACTTCCTGGCCCCCCAGTTTGAGCACATCATCCACGACGTGGGCACCTACGGCCTGCAGGGCTGCTCCGCTCCAAAGCTGCTGAACAGCGGACTCTTCCTGGCCAGCCGCTACCCTCTCTTGGCCGTGGAGTTCCACTGCTACCCCAACGCCACTGGCGAGGATGCCCTGTGCGCCAAGGGCCTGCTGTGCGTGCAGGTGAGCCAGCCGGGGCCTCCTTGGGCAAGGGAGGGGCATGAGCGGGACCTGCCACCATGTGCCCCCCCCCGTGCCAGGGTGGGGCCCCTGGGGCTTCAGCATGGGCTTAAATGCTGCCTGGTGGCCACTGACGGTCCTGCTGTCCGTGTTGCCCCTTGTGGCCAGTCTCTCACACCTGCTTGAAGCCAAAGGAGGGTGGGGGGGGGGGCTCCTTCTGCAGGGCTGCCCCATCTCTGGAACCACAGACTGATACGATGCCACGAGACCCATGTGGTGATCCAGGGCAGCACCCAAGGCCCCTAAGGGGTCCCCGTGGCCTGAAGGTCTTCCCACTGGGGGCCCTAGTGAGGTCGAGTGTACCTCCGTGGACTCCCCAACCTGAGGGGGTGTCTCCTCTCAGAAAGCCTCTCCCCCCCCATCCACGGAGGTTCACCTGTGTTCCTGCTTTGTCCACTCAGGTGCAGCTGGGAGCCTGCCAAGGAGGAAGGGTCATAGGATACCTGAACTGCACCCACCTGCAGGCCCCTGAAGGTAGGGGCAGGAGCGAAGCCCTCCAGGGGCCGCACCTGCAGAGCCAAGGCAGGAAGGGCTGGAGACAGGGCTGGGGGGGGGGGTCAGTCTCTGGAGAGAGGGAGAAGGGAGGAGGTCCAGGCCAGATGTGCTGAACCTCTGTAGGCTCTCAACCGGCGCTGCCTTTGCCTTCCCTGGAGGGCTCCGCATAGAGGCCGGACGGTCCCTGTCAGAGATGTGGTGGACTAGATGATCTCACGGTCCACCTCTGTCCTGTGATGGCCGCCCAGGGTCTTCTCCCGGCAGAGGAAACCTGGCAGTGAAGCAGAGAGACGGGGGTTTCTGGGTCTCCTTCCTCCCCCGAAGGCGGCTCCCCGCTTGCCCTCCCCCTCTCCCCTGCCCTGCCCTGCCTGCTTGAGGAGGGGGCGAGGGGGGCACTGGGGGTGGCGTCCCCCTCATGGCTCTCTTGGCCTGCTGGGCAGTCTCCCCGCAAACCCCCCAGCTCCGGTGGTGCCCATGCGCTGGGAGCAGAGCGCAGAGGGGAGCCCCCCCGCCGAGGCTGATGCGGCTGCCCTCCCCCTCCCACAGCGGATGGGCCCATCCGGCAGGAGCAGCTGGACCTCTCCCTGCGCTGGGTGCAGCTCTTCCAAGACAGCCATGCGCAGCCGGGGGACGTGGTGGCCTTCGACATCTTCTGTGGGGACCTCAATTTCGACACCTGCTCTCCAGGTGGGTGTCCAGGAGGGGGACGCAGAGCCCGAAGCAGGGGAGGGGCCTCCCTCCTGGCTTGGCTGTCTCAGGCCCCTCTTTCTCCCCAGGTGATGCCATGGAACAAGGCCACGAGATCTTCAGCCGGTACATTGACCCCTGCCGCCTCGGTCCTTGCCAGGACGCGCCTTGGGCCATCGGTGGGTGAGCCCCGCACCCTGGGGGCCTCTCTGACCCGGGGGGAAAGCTGGTCTGCTCCACCCTTTTGCTGGGCCCAGCGGGTGACTGGAGCGGCCGGGCAGGGAGGGAGGGAGGGAGGGAGGGAAGGGCCCCGTGGTGGGCGAGAGGCCACTGGGACCCTCCTGCCCTTCACAGGGACGCTGATGAACCCGCTGCACCTCTACGACGAAGCCGTGGCCACCCCAGAGAGCCTGAAGAGGTGAGGGGCCTGGGGCCCAGCCTGGGATCGCGGGGGGGCAGAAAGGGGGGCCCCCGGGGATGACAGGCGGGGGGGGGGGCGGGGGGGGGGGGGGGGGGGGGGGGCAGAAGGCCGTGCCTGACCTGACAGCAGCCAATCCCAGTCTGCCTCCCTTCTCGCCCTCAAACCAGCTTCCAGTCCTGGCAGCTGCCTGGTGGTGCCCCTCCGTTTCCTCGGCAGGGTCCCTTGCCCGTGCTAGCCTCTTTCTGGGGCCGAGAGAGGCCGAGGGTCCCTCATGGGGACTTGGGGGCCTAAGGCCCATCTCGCCCTCCCCCACTCCCGATCGAGGCCTAAATGTGGTCCAAGGATGGAGGCTGGCTGATCCCCGGGGGAAGCCTCTGCCAGGGGCTGGGGGGGGGGCGGCTTCTGTCCCTGGGGGAGAAGGTGGGGGGAGGGAGGGCCCTGAGCTGGGCAGGGGCAGCTGGGGCAGGAGACGCCTCCGGGTAGGCCCACGTCTGGGGCAGAGGGGGGGCAGGGCGGCCAAGGGATGGGGGCCAGTCTGAACCTTTGGGACGAAGAAGGGAAGATGGGGGTCGCAGCCTTCAGCTACCCGAAGGGCAGGGCCTGAGCCATGAGCGGAAACCAAAGGGGGGGGGTGATAGGTGAGAGAGGAGGAGGAGGAGGCACCTCCCGATCATAGGAGCCATTGGCCAGTGGAACTGCCTGCCCCCTGAAGGGGTGAGTTCTCCTTCTGCACATGTCTTCAAACAGGCACCAGGCGCTTCATTCACAGCAGCAGTTGGGACGACTAGAAGATCCCAACCTTTATTTGTTCCTTAGCCCCCCACCCCACCCCTCTGTTTTGCCTCCCAGGACTCTGGAGAATCCGGAGGAGCGCAGGAAGTACCTGGCAGGACCCCTCCAGGCCGAGGGCAGCGCCAACCTCTTGGCCACCTGTCACGAAGGGCGGCGCATCGATTACACTCTCTACCGGCAGCCCTGGGGTCCAGGGCACTTGAAGACCGTAAGTGGCTGGGGAGCCTGTGGTCAGCTGAGGCAGCTGGGACGGCCTCCCCTGCTGGGCCAAAGGGACTGGGGGAGGGGGGGGCTCTCCGGGTCTTCTGGGCTGCAGGGGGCGGCAACAAGTCGGGAGTCGGGAGGGGTAGATGCCTGCTGAGCAAGCACCAGTCTGGGGAGGCTGTGGTGGTCGGGGCAGCATTGGCGGGGGAGGGGGGGGCAGGCAGGGGGCTGCAGAGATGCCAAAGTCAGACACACAAGCCAGGCAGGGATGTGCTGGGGGGGGGGGGGGGGGGAGGGGCGGGGCGGGCCATGAGGGGCCCCCAGGGGGGGGGGGGGGGGGGGGCCTGGGGGGGGGTTCCCAGAAGCGGGGAGAGCTCATTGGGGGAGCCAGCAATGGGGCTGGAGTGGGGCAGCAGAGGCCGGGGTGAGGGGGCTGCCAAGAAGGGGCTGGATCCATGCCAAACAAGACGCCCCCGGAGCTGCCTTCTCGTCTGGGCGCACGATGCCTCTGGACCAGGTGAGCCCCTTCTGCCGTCGGAGGGCAGGAAGCAGGTGAGGGAAGAGGGGCCCGGAGCCGGACCCCAGGACTGTGGGCAGCAGGGCCTGGCAAGGCTGCCCCACCGAGGGGCCTCCCTGCTGGCATTGGCACCGGCTTCTGGCTCTGTGGGGGCGGGGCTTGTGGCGGGAAAGCCCGCCTTCTTGCCAGCCACCGCCCAATGCCTGCAATCAGCCTTGGCCTCTCTTTGCCTGCTGGAGAAATGGGCCCAGCAGTGGCTTCCTGTGCCTGGTCTGCTCGGCTCACCTCGCGGTTCTCTCCCCTCCCCAAGACACGAAACTGCCCTCCTTGTGCAGGGCATCGGTTCCCAGGGGAGGTGGGGGGGCGCCCCTTTTCTCTGCTGGGCAGCTGCTTTCTCTGTGGAGCCCCAGGACGCCCCTTTGGCCCCCTCGCCCTAAGGGACACCGGCACCCCCGAGAGCGGAGCTGTCCTCCCTCCCGAGTAAGCCCAGAGTAACACCCTCCCACGCAAGGTGGCATTTGCTAGGACAGGCACGGTGGCTGTGGCCGTAGCATCGTTTAGGCCAACCTGGATCAGGGCTGGACTTCTTGTTGAGGGTCGAGCCCAGGTAGATGGTCCTGGTGGGCCAATCTCTGCCCTGTGGCGAATGGAGCCTTGTGCAAGGCCCACCCGGCGTTTCCTGGGCAGGAAATCCAGCTCTCGCGTGGCGATGCCTCCCTGCTCCTGGCTTTGGAAAGCATCTCCTGGGTGAGCGCAGGTGCAGCAGCAGCAGCCTTGGCACTTCCTGGTCCTCCACCTGCGGTCAGCCAGCTGCTCTCTTGGTGGATCGGGCCCTTTGGAGTTGAGCAGTCAGATCCGTGATCCCCCAGCGACCATTTTTTGCGGGTCACGGGGAGGCGTCTCCCGTCAATTCCAAAATGGTCCACCTGATGCCAGTAGTAAATCTCTGGACAGGAAGGTCCCCCTGGCCTGCAGAGCCCCCCAGCAACTGTTCTGACTTCCCTCCCCCCCCCCCCCAAGACTGGGGCAATAAACCCCCCCCCCCCCCCGGTCAGGTAGTTCTCACCATCCCCTCAGCCTCCACAAGTGTGTGTGTGGGGGGGTTGATAAAAGGGAGAGAAGTGGGTGGGGGTCTCCATAATAGCAGTGATCCCCCCCAGGCAGATTTCCCCTCCTTCCAGAAGAAGGCCCCTTCCCCCTTTCCAAGGGCTCTCCGGAAGGGGCCAAGGAGAGAGGGAGGGGGGTCTCTGGGGAAGGGGTGCAGGAGGGAACCGGCAGGCTCGGCTGGTGTTGGGAGTAAGTTGGGCCACAGCAGAGTGGGGGGCTGCAACCGATGGCTCAGGAAAGGGACGGAAGGGGCCTCCGCAGCCCAAGTCTTCCCCGAGCAGCCGGTTGGCTAGGCAGCCTTCAGGGCCCTTGAAACGATGCAGGATTCGGGCCAAGCAGCCCAGGCTCTCCTCTCTGGGTCCCCTCCTGGGCCGTTGCTCTGCTCTGCTCTCAACCCTCCTGCCGCCGTGTCTCCTCTCTGCTTGCAGGCGGTGGAGAAAGTCTTCTTCTTCACCCAGCTGGCCACCTGCTCCGACCACTTGCCTGTTGGACTGCAACTCCTGGTGTCTTCAGAGGTGGAACCGGAAGCCCCAGCGCGGAAGGACCCCCTGTGACCTGCAGCTGGACTGACCTCCTTGATCCAGGGAGGGGGAGCCGCCCTGTCCCTGCTGGAGCCAGAGGGAGAGAGAGAGTCGCTCCTCCGGAGCCAAGCCGGGCACCCTGGCGATGGGCGAGGGGCTGGCGTGGGAGCCCTCCGAGGTTGCAGGCCGGGGCTGGAGAAGTCTCCGACGGGGTGGCTCTGGTCAAGGGGGACCCTCTGGGCGACTGCGGCCTCCCCTGCCCGAGTGCCTGGGCCTCCTGCTCAGCCTCTCCCGCCGGCCCTCCGAGGAAGGGCGGCATCAGTGGAGCCAGGGTGGGGGAGGACACATGCTCCCCCCCCCCCGAGTGGACGACGGCCCCCGTGGCTCCTCCCGCCTCTGGGTGACGCTGGCTGCAGAAGGGCCTGTGCAGACTTTGGGCTGGGGAAGCGGATCTCGCGTCCGAACCAGAATTTTATCCTAAGGTGTAACTTGAGTTTCGTAACTATTTACCCAAACGTTGGCGGCCTCCCAAGAGCAAAATCTCACCACCAGACAGATTACACTGTGGAACTGAATGTTTCAGCACAACTTGAATTGTTTCCAAGAAACCGAAAGGCGTCAAATACGAAGCGTTTCCTACACTTGAGCAGAGCATCCTGGGCTGTTCTTAATTGGGGGGGAGTTCTCCATAATAGCCTCCCCTGGGCCCTGGGGGCTCCAAAGCTCCCAACTTTCAGCGGGGTGGGGACTGGCCCTGCCCCTCCCTCCCTGGTGTGCCGGAAGGCGTTTCCTGGTTCCGAGGACTCTACGGCACTTTGTTCAACCACTTGAGTAAACATCTCTGCCATCGGTTGGCACAGAAGGCCGGCCTCTTGTGGGACCGGGTGCAGCACGAAGTCTAGGAGGGCCTGGTGCGGGGGGGGGGGGGCTTTATCCACTCTGGCTGCTTGATACCTGCCCGCCACCCCTCCAATCCAGACAGAATCCCCCTGGCAGTTGCCAGGAAGGGAGGCAGCTGCGGGGAGGGTGGGTGGCACCTCCCTGTGGGCAGAGATGGGATTCAGCCGGTTCTGAGCCTCCCGCTGGGTCCCAGCTGATTGGCTGCCTCTTCTTTGGTTGCCCTGCACAGGAGAACGGAGCTGGAAAGCAGGGGGATTTTACAAGATATCCTTCCCCTGCCACGCCCACCAAGCCACGCCCACAGAACCGGTAGTAAAAAAAAAATGGAATCCCAGCGCTGCCTGCGGGTCCGCAAAGGCTCGTCCTCTCCAGCCCACTAGTAGGAGCTGGACCAGTTGGGCTGGGCCTGGACTCCCAGCCAGAGAAGGGGGAGGGAGGGAGGGAGGGAGGCTCGGGCCCAGGAACCCCAGGCTGGCTCTCAAGGCCCCGACCTGCACCGCCATCCCTTTGCCCCCGCCGGGCGCAGGTTGGCAGGAGGGCGAACAGTCGGAAAGGGGGTACCGGGGGGCTTCAGGGAACGGGGCCATCCTTGAGCCTAAGGAGCCCTTCACGCAGCACTTCAGCCAGGCGGGCGAACCTCAGAAGGGGGCAGAATGGGTCCAGTTCCGCTTCCAGTTGGGCCGCTGCCCTGAGCCCCAAAGCACAGGGAGGAGGGGGCCGATCTCCCGGGGTGGGGGTGGGGGCTTTGCCACGGCAGAGGCCGCCAGGACAGCCGGGGAAACGTAAACACAGCAATGAGATGATCAGTCATTTCTTTTAAAAAGGCCGTTTCTTCCCTCCCAAGGAAGCCAGGGGGAAACCTCCAGCACGGAGCATCTCAGCAGCGTATCTCAACTCAGTGGCTGGAAGACTAAAGTCTACAAGGGGCCGTTGTAGCTGATTGGTTGGAGAGTGCGGGGAGGGGCTCCAGCAGGAGGCAATCTGTGCCCTGATTGGTTGCTGTGGGGGTAAAGGGGGAAGTTCCTCTCCCCCCCCCACACACACATTTTTTCTTCTGTGTGCTCTGAATTCTGTGATTTACCTGAAGATTTACCTGAAGATTTACCTGATGATGTAGCGAAGTGCCTGTCTTGGCTGCGGTCAATATAGAAATAAAACATATTTATTCGTAAAAAACTACATGTTTGTGTCAGCGTCTCCTCCTCCATTTGGGCACCCGCTGTGCCATTCCCTGGCCCTCAGCACCTGGGCTGGGCAGGGATGCCAGCCCCCGTTTCCGCCCTGCGGTGGGTGGACCTTGAGCTGTGAGCCATGGGCGGCAGAGATCATTCCCCCCCCTTCTGCCGGGGGTCTCCAGCACCCTCCTCTTCACCCTGCCGGCCTCCCCATCTCCCTCCCTCTCAGCGGCATTTTCCAGAAACGGCCAGGAATTGTGGGGTCCTTGGTGCTCTCTGAGCTGAGTGGTTTTCTTAGAGACCTTTCACTACCAAACCAGGGAACATTATCAGTGCTGTAACACAATGAGAGCAAACCCACCCACCCCCAGCGTGTTACCTAGAGCAGAGCGCCAACCTTCTGGACCTCAGGGACCGCCAAACTCATAATTTTAAAGCCCGGGAACCAGAGGCCCTGGGAAATTCTCCCCCAAAAAGACTGCAGGAAAATTCCTCACCCCGTTTTCCTACCAATCGATCGTTCTTTATTTGGGATCGCAGGATGTTGTCTCCAGCTCCGTTCTCGGGGGGGGGGGGGGGGACAGAGAGACCTTTGGCTTCATGCAAGGAAAGCAGCAGAAGCTGCAGAAGTCTTTCTTTCTCTCCCCCAAACTCTGCCAGAAATGAGCCCTTTGTGAGACTTGTCATGCCGGCTCAGCCTCTTAGAGCAGGAGGCCTTGCAGGGTCCCAAAGACTCATTTCTGGCAGAGTTTGGGGGAGAGAAAGGAAGACTTTTGCAGCCAAAAACAGAAGAAGAAGTGGAAAGAAACAGGCCAGGCCAGGCGTGTGGGGCATGTGGGGCAAGTTCCACCCCCTCCACACTTTCCCCCTTCCCCTCACTACCTCGTGTTGTTCACAATGTGATGCAAGCCTTGTGTTCCCATGTGGGCCATGTGGGCGGAGCAGCCTTGTGTTTCCGCGCAGCCTGGATTCATTGCTTTGGGGGGGACATTTCTCTGCAGACCACCAATATTTTCTCATGGACCACCAGTGGTCCCTAGCCCACTGGTCAGCGACCACGGACCTAGATCAGGGGTCTCCATCCTTGGCAACTTTAAGACGTGTGGACTTCAACTCCCAGAATTTCTCTGCCAGCTTTGCTGTCCACAAGTCTTAAAGTAGCCAAGGATGGAGACTCCTGACTTGGAGAACCAGCTAGGAACCTCCAGGTCCAGGACGTGGTCCCTAGTAAGTGTGTTTGTGTGTGGGGGGACACAACGCTGAAACTGGTGCAGCCCTGCCAAGGAGGTTTTGCTTCAGGGGTTTTATGGGAGACAGAACCGAGCAGCAGCCACAACCCGCAGCCAGAATGGTAAATCGGGGAAGGCCTAACTGACCCTCGGGAAGCTGGAGGTGACCTGGACTCATCAACCACATTTAGCGAGGTGTTATTCTGGGGGGTTCTGAGTCTTGATCCTCCTCTTGAAGTGACTGTTCTTCCTGCAACGGCCTTCACTTTAATGGGACTGGACCATCAGCAAAGGCAGCGCAGGGAGCACTCAGGAAGGAAGGAAGGAAGTCTTTGTAGCTGCACAAGTGGCCCCCTGGGAAAGCTGCCTTCCCTCCCGGTGTCTGGGTGCTCCCCTCCTTCATCAGGAAAGGCCACCTGGGGCCAAGGCAGGGGGCAAGTGCGCCAGGAGGGCAGGGCAGGGCAGAGCTGCTCCTTCACAGGCGCTCAGAGGAGGAGGAGGAGGCTGGGGCAGGGCAGCCTTTGCAGCCCTGGGCTCTGCCTGCCTCCACCGACTTTGGCACCTTCTCAGCTGGCAACAGGTGACCACGAGGCCAAGCCAAGCTCCACCATCCCATCAACCAAGCAGCCTGGAGACCTCATCAACGCCAAGGGCAGGGCTGGCAGGGAAGGGACTGGGGGAGCATCCACAGCCCACACCTCCTCTCCGGGTGGCGTCCTGCACTCTTCCCATCTCTCTCTGCCCGCTTTCGTCCCAGGCGGGCTGGTTTCAAGAGAGGCGGGGGGGGGGGGGCGGGGGGGGCTCTGGAGGAAAAAGACGCTGGAAAGGCCTGCTGGCCGCACAGGACACACCCGGGGATTTCCTTCCAGCCAGCTGACACTGTGCAAACACACCGCACCCACGAGCGCCTGCTCGAGAGAAGCCCGACAAAGAGCGCCTGGGTGGCCTCGCCTCCGTTAAAGGAACCGCTAACGCAGCGGCCAGGGTGCGCGCGCGCGCGTGTGTGTGTGTGTGTGCGCGCGGGCGCTTTGCTCTCGCCTTGGCAAAGAGGAGAACCCGGGAGGCGCGAGAGGCCATGCAAGCGGCTCCTCCCGGGACCTCCGCCCATTTCCCACCGGCCGGGCAGGAGGGGAAGCGCTGCTCGTCGGGCAACGGCAGGGGACTCCCCCTCCCAGCCCGCGCCCACTTGGGGAGGGGCTCCCGCCCGGGGCTGGATTTGGCCCTGGAAACGCCGGGAGGGCCAGCCGGACGGGGAGCCCAAAGAGCGCCGGCGAGGGAGCCGCTTCCGCCCCGGGCCCGGCTCGCCAGGAATCCCGTCCGGCTCGGCGGAGACCTCGGGGCCGCCTCGGCGCTGCTAATTGTGGGTGCCGGCCGGCTTCCTCTGAGTCAAGCGCTTGGGACGCCCCGGGAGGGCCCGCCGGAGCCCTTGGCCGACCCGGCCGGCTCCGCGGTGGAGGCTGCCCGAATTCCTTCCGCCTCCTTGGGGAAATTGCAGCGCGTGGCCCAATTAGTGCGGGTGTGGGGGGTTTAATCATCAAAGAAGCGCATAAAGCGGTCACACCTTTGACGTGTGTGCCCAGAGCAGGAATCTAGGCGTTCTTTCATTACGGCCATTTCATTTGGATGCGTTGGGTGTTTTTATTAGTTTTGCTGTTTTTACTATTTTTAAAATGTTTTTAATATTTTTACCTGTAATATATTTTGAGCCAACCAGCGTCATTGAAATGGGTAACTACAGATATGGAATAAATAAATATCTAAAGGTAGAAGATACAGCCAGCAAGATAAAAGTGTTTTTGCAAATCCACAATTGAAG